CTTTACCCCATAGCGCAAAAGGGCATTTACACTTTATTGAACCGGACTTCCGGCTTGTTTCGACCTCTGCATTTTTTCCTCGACTCTTATAGGCTCTTTTGCAAGTTAAATACTGTCGGCCCTCGTGGTAAGACTGTCGCCTAATCTCATGTCCATGACTGATGGCCATATTCATCGCCCACTCGACTAGTGCATCTTTACTATCAATTGGACTAAATTCAAATACAACTACAAAGTGATCTAAATGTCAAATACAAATACAAATTGAACTAAAATTCAATCATTGGCTTTGAATGCAGTAACTTTAACTAGTTCGGAATTTGTTAAAATTAGAAATTTTGAAGATTTTCATTTTTTTGGGGGAGTTGTCGTATTTTGGGAAAATAATTTGGTAAAAAAAGGTAGCGTTTGTTTGTATTTTGAGTTATAGTTTGGGGGAGACATTTTGCACCATAGGTTGTACGGGTCAAGTTATGTATGAAAGTATTAGAAGAAAGAAAGAAGAATATTATTATCCATTTGTGCATTATGTATTTACCCCGATTTATCTTTCGAAAACCAAAATTGATGGTAATGACTAATGCGAGTTTTTTTCTGACAGGCAAAAAATTATCTACAAGACTGCATCTGGTGTTTGTTTGGTTCCTTTTTTTGCTGCTGTCAAAATAAACAAGTGTCTCGTTGACGAAAGAGGTTCGATATATTCTCTCGACTGTATTATCATATGGTGATTGAGTTTTGTTGAAATGCATTAGAAAATAAATATTTGTACGACCGTGGTGTTTGTTAGGATTCGTAGTGTCTGAGATGTGTAGACAAATTTGATGCTGAAAAAATTGATTTGTTTGAGGAATGGTAAGTTTGGCAATGTATCTTTTGCAAATTGTTTGTGAAATATATATCTGATTTTTCTTTGCAATTTAAGATGTAGAAAATTGAAATTATGTAGCCATTAATTGGTTTATTCAACCCCAAAAATGAACTGATTAGACCATTCTCGTCTCTATTAGTATCTTCTTTGAATTGCTATTTCCTGAGCTTTGGTCCGAAAGAATAAATTATTTTCAAGAAAACTACAGTTTTGCACCTATTTCACATTTGGTCCCCCATGTTCACAGAAAATACATTTTGTCCCACATGTTTCAATAATTTAACACTTTTGGTCATTTCCGTCAATTCCGATAGTCCGTTAGTTAAGGCAGTGTGGGCACACGTTCAATTCCGTTAGTACTAGCGGAAAATTGACAGAAATGACTAAAAGTGTTTAAGTTTTGAAACATTAGGAACCAAATGTGTATTTTTTTAATATGGGGACTAAGTATGAAATCGGTGCAAACTTGAGGGATGAAAACTGTATTTTTCCCAATAGTTTCCGTTCTCAGACCAAATTGGACACTTTCAGTCCAGTATCTACATAATAAAGATTGACAATTATAGTTCGACACTCTATTTTCTGAAATAAGATGCTATTTGCTGGCTTTTTTTACTGGCAAATAGTAAACGAAGTTGCAAATTTATTTTCCAACATTTTTTTTCTCAATAAAAAACGTATTTTTAAATTATAGCAAGTACATGTATTAAGGAAATCGAGCGGTGATAAAGAATATCACACGACAACCTCTTCTTGTTCTTCGAGATGCCAAAGTAAACTTCACGAATTTCTTCGATCGTAAGATAGGGTGGGATTGAGTTTACGAGCCGTAACTATGAAACTATATTCTTACGTAGCATGGCCTGATATGCACGACATTCGTTTCGCTCTCTACAAATTACCGACTAAGACGAGTACAGATATACGCCCAATTTAAGATGATAATGTCCGTTTCTGGGAACTGCATTTTGCTTATTTCACGAGTCATATTAAATGTCAATAAGATGGAGGAACGGGCCAAGGTAACTTCAAACTTATTTTGGAGTCCTTAATTTGTATCTTCTTGACCATCAGATTGTCGTCAAGCTAATAACTACATATGGAAAGTGTAAGTGCAACATCAACACAGTGGATAGGACTAGTTTCTCTTATTTAATCTTACAACAGTTCTAGTTTTACATATGATCAAATGTATCCTTATACATTTGAAGCATCTCCCCATTTTGCGACTGAAATCTAAAAGCATTCTCTTCCAAATTCGTTATTAGTTACAAAATGTTGTTCTTCCAGTTTCTTCGTTAATTCCTTACGATTGAGAACTTTGTAAGTAGGTTCACGTAATTGTTGATGTTGAATGCAGCAGTAACCCGAGTTCGGAATTAGTCAAAATTCGAAATTTTGAAGATTTTTATATTTTTTTGGAAGTTGTGGTATTTTGGGAAATAATTTGAGAAAAATGTAGCGTTTGTTTGTATTTTTAGTTGTAGAGTGGGACAATACATTTTTCTACTATAGGTTGTGGGGGTCGTCAAATTATGTACGAGAAGAAAGAAAGGAGACTTGTTTGTATTTTAGTTGAGACATTTTTCTACTGTAGTGTTCTATCCCAATTGTCAATTTTTTCCAAGGAATAATTTCACAAGGGGACACTCGCATAGAATATGGAACGAGTCTTCTCTCTCTTGACAACATCTTTGAAATTGATCCATCAAACTTTAGTTATCTATCATGCTTTAGGGCTTTAAGTAATTTAAGGTTGTCTCTGTGAGCCAAAGAAAGATTTAATCCTGAATGCAATTAACTAAAGATACTCAGAGACATTAATTAACCAACTGTTTCTCACATGTATAAGTTTCTAAATTATTTTCTCTTGCTAAATTAATTTTCCTTAAACTGCTATTTTGTAGTCCAGTGCCTTTTTGCTTTATTGATGATTGAAAAACCCTGTAGGAAGGAAGAATGTTATAGATAAGTATAGAAGATATAACAATTTGTACCTATAAAGCTAAGCATTGATATTTCGACACTTCTAGCAAGCTTGCAGCCAAGCGATCTATAAACCCGGAAATATTATTATCTTTTTATGCATTATGTATCTGCCCCGATTTATCTTTGGAAAATCGTCATTGATGGCAATGCCGTGTTTATTTCTGACAGGCAAAACGATCTATAAGACTGCATGCGCTGGTGTTTGTTTGGTTCCATTGACATTGAGCTTTGGTTAATCTTGGGTGGTGTGATTCTTTTTTTTTTCTGGTGCTGCCAAATAAAGAAGTGTCTCGTTGATGCAAGAGGTTCGATATATTCTTTCGACTGTATCGAATATGAATATGGCGATTGAGTTTCGGTAAAATGCTTCTGCATGACCATGGTGTTTGGATTTTTAGTTTTTGATGTGTGCAGACAAATTTGATGCTGAAAGATTGATTTATTTGAGCAACAGTAAGTTTGGTGAGTAATGTATTTTTCGCAGATCTTTTGTGAAATATAAATGATTTTTTTTTTCTGCTTCAATCTGCAATTTAAGATGTAGAAAATTGAAAATTATGTAGTCATTACTTTGTTTATTCGACACCAAGAATGAGCTGATTAGACCATTCTCGTTCTTTTTTCGTTCTTAGTCCAAATTGGACACTTTCAAATTTCAATCCCAAATCTAAAGAATGAAGTTTCACAATTTTAGTTCGATTTCTAGATCGAGATGCTGTTTGCATACATTTTCTTACAGGCAAATAGTAAACTAAGTTGCGAATTTCTTTTCCAACATTTATTTTGTTTCTCTCAATAAAAAGATCATATTTTTAAATTGTAACAAGTAGTTGTTTAAATTTGAATCCTTCAAGCAATCCATTATGGTTGACTTTTGACAGAGTAAACGGATGTTCGACCAATTATGTTCCTTCCGTGGGTAGGTTACTCTGATCCCACTAAGTTTAATTAGTTTCAAATAACAAAGTCAATCCCCTGTATTACCTTCTCTTAATCAAGGCTGATATCACTTTTGCTACATGTACTTGTGTAAATTTGAATCTTGTAAGAACGAGCAGCTCGAATCCATGTCAATCGTTTCTGTGTGAATCGGATGCTTGCCTATTGCTTCCAGGTCTGGTTATATTTTATTTTCTATTTTGTTTCCTACTCTTGAATGGAGAACGGGTTCTTGAAAGGAATTTATACCCTTTTTGGTATTCAGTGCAATAATTGATTGGATCAAGGTGTAGTTTCAGTTTGTGATCTTTCACCGCCATACGAATAACTGGTTTTTTTTTTTTTTTTTTTTTTCTGTAAGCTTGAATCTACTTACCTCATTAATAAAAAAAAAATATTTCGTTTATTCTCGACTAAGTAGTCCATTATGTCGTCTGATCTTTGTGGATCAAGCTTGCTTTTAGCTTTGCCTGATGATATGTTTTCTGTAATCACGAGTTCTCTCTCCCCGAGGGATGTGTGTAGTCTTAGTCTCAGCTGTCCAGGTCTCAACGCTGTTGTGTCCTCCGACAAAGTTTGGCTTTCCCAATGTAATAAATTGGGAATTAAACTACTCCCTTTTAGCACCCTCGTCGAATGGAGAAAGGGGGTTTCTTCTTACAAGGCCCTCTGTCGGTTCTTGGTGAGTATTCATCCGTTGATCGGCATTTGGGTTCACCAGAACCCTGAGCTCGGCAATGTAGTATATGTTATGCCTGGTTTTTTATCAGTTGTTGGATGCAGGATAATCCCGCAAACGATAGGTCCTTTAGGCCTTGAAGACGGTCCTCTTTTGTGGACGTCTGTCTTCGAAATCCTCTGCAAATCCGACGGCTCGACAGCATTCTTTTTACACGGGAGGGAGCAAGGAGCAGATTATGTTTACCCCGGATTGTTTAAATCAGTCGATAGAAATTGTAATGTGCTTTTGCTTGAGGTGGAGGCTCTGCATCAACGAGATGAAATAGATAAGGGGACTGAAATTCCTTTTAGCCGTTTGGAATCTGATGACAGAGAGATGCTCCTCGATTTTGTCACGAGACAAGTCCGCGGTATTGTTCCAGATACAGCGACCGCGATATTATTTCCTCCCTTGAGAACCGACGAGGTTGATTCTCAACAAGATTTTACAGTCTTACACGAAAGGAGATTGTTGCTTTTACAAATGTACGAGCGTATGTTGAATCCCACAGAATTCGGATCAAGTGAGGCAGGTGACGGGGATCAGGTGATCGAACAGATACTAAGGAAATCGAGCTCAACAGGTGGCGGTCAAGAAAATCAGAGTACACTCCATCAATTTCTTCGATCGAGCGATAGGGTTGGGTTGTGTTTACGACCTGCAACTATGGAATTAAGTTTTCATATGGCGTGGCCCCATATGGACGAAGATCAATCTATTCTCTATAAGATGCGTATGGAGCCTCCCGACGAATGTCACAAGTATGCTGGTTTATGGGGAGGGGCTTACGGTTGGCCTCCGACGAGGGTGTCTGAAGAAAAAGCCGGAGAGGCCCTTTTCTTGATTTCGATCTCTTACGAAGTGACCAAATGGGGGAAGAAACTTATGATTGGTACAAAGATACTAGAAGGTACGTTGTACGTTGAGCATCCTAACGGCTCAGCTATGTTTACAGCGAATGTAGATGAACCAGCATTGGAACCGTTCCCGAGTTATGGCGCTGAAGACTCCGAGTCTATCGATTCATTCGGGGGAGAAAGTATTGCAAGTGGTTATGGTTTCAGATATCCTGGTTCTGAACCCGGTTCGCTGTTCGTTCTTTCGAATGGATTGCTTTGTTTCGTATCTGAGGAGTCGAGGACTGTGTTGACGTTGCAGAGGTTCGACTTGGCGGATCTTTTAAAGAGAGGTGAAAGATTGCCTTCGCTATTGTCGCCGGTTTCGAACTATGTGTATCCGATGAGGTGGTACGTAACTCCTTACTCTGGAATTTCAGATTCTTGAAACAGCTCTATTGTTTTGACAAGGTGTGCTTCTTCGGTGTAAACCGTTGCTTCTTTTTTCTGTGCACTAGTGTGTGTGTGTGTGTGTTGTACGGCCAAGTTATAAGGCCAATTTAAAAAATAAAAAAAAAAAAAAAATTGTTCAGGATTATAATACTTTTTGCAGTTATTTTCATGTAAAAAAAATAATAATAAATTTATTCGAGAGGATATTTATTATTACAAGATTTAATGGGTCAATACCTTTTTCATTTTTCACATGTAAAAACTCAAGGCAAATTAATAAAAAATCCTAATTAAAAACAGGGGCAATTTGCTATAGTTCTTACTACAAGAGATTTTATTTGTATAAGTCCAACTATTAATTCCCTATTTTTATTACTTTTATTATTCTTATTTGTCTAAAATACTGCAAATAAAATATGGAAAATAAAAATTCTCAAATAAAAGTTTACTTTATACAAGTTTTAATTCCACGGTTTCTTCCCAACAAAAAAAAAGTCGCTGCGAATCTTCAAATCCTAGCTATGATTTTACCTTTCATTCATCTTTCTCCTAAGCGCAAAAATAGAAGACAACAAAAATTGATGTCCGTTTGCTGTTTTGTCGCTTTTTACTTGAAAAAAAAGACCTAGTTTTGTTTGTTTGTTTGTTGTTCGTCATCGCCTCATCACGCTAAATCCGAGAACCTCAAATGCAAACAATATGGTGCAGAAACGTAAAATTCCGAGTGTTGAATATAGGCGTTGAATCTTTGTTTGCACTTGCTTCGTCCCTGCCCTGCCATAGATAGGAATCGTTCGCAGTTTGTAGTTTTGAATCTCTGTCTGCAACTGCTTCGTCCCTGCCCTGCCATAGTTAAGAATCGTTCACAGTTTTGAATTTTGGTTTGAAATTGTTTTGTTCTTGTCCTGCCATAGCTTATTAGAATTGTTCGCAGTTTGCAGTTTTAAAATTTACGTTTGCAATTGTTTCGTCCCTATCTTGCCATAGCTAAGAATTGATTGCAGGAATCGTTCGCAGTTTGCAGTTTTGAATATCTGTGTGTAATTGCTTCGTCCCTGCCCTACTATAGCCAAGAATCTTTCGCAGTTTGTAGTTTTGAAATCTCCATACTTAATAATCGTTTGTTTCAAGCCTAAGAATTGGTTGCAGTGTTCAAATCTCTTTGTTTGTTTTTCACTAGTATTTGCTAGTTTGATGGTTTGATTAGAGAGAGGAGATAGGCGTGAGAGAGAGAGGGAGTGATACGTGAGATTTTTTTTTCTCACTTACGTAAACTGAAATGCTATTCATAGTGCAACTTTTACCGCCTTGCTGTGCGATTTATTTCATTTGTAACTTTCCTTAAAAAAACTCAAATTCGCCCGCTATTTTGTGTGTTATATTACGAAATTCACTCAAGAATTTCGTGTATTTTTACACGAAATGTACGTGTTTATTATTATAGAACATGAATGACGAAACTGTTGGATTGAAAACATTTTCCTCTTTCGTGACATAAAACACGAAATTACACATTATATTTCGTGGAGTTTTCCACGAAATTACACCTTATAATTCGTGGATTTTTCCACGAAATATAAGGTAATGTTTCGTAAAATTTAGTACGAAATCACTAATTGATTTTTTTTTTTAATTTAACCAACTTATTTCAGACACTCAGATAAATAAAATACATTAACATAAATATTCTTAAACTCAAGAAAAAAAACAAATTGACCTAAAAATTAAAATACAAATACGAATTGGACTAAATTCAAATACAAGTACAAATTGATCTAAATTTGAAATACAAATACAAATTGAACTAAAATTCAAATACAACTACAAATTAATCTAAAATTCAAATACAAATACAGATTGAACTAAAATTCAAATACAACTACAAATTGAACTACCGACCAGACTTTAATTGTTCGTACAAGAGTAGTCGGGGTTTGAACATTTTGAGTAAGTGCCTCAGTTTTTTAGCTCTATGATGTACCCATGGTAGAGGATTATTCGCGACCAAATTAACAAACATGAAATGATTGTTGTGCAATGTCACAACAATCATACATGATAAGTGACCACCGCCAAACCTAGGAAGGTAAATCATACATGATAAGTGACCACTGTCAAAAGTACCACTAATGCACTGTATTTTGTAGCAATGCCCAATCCCATTTCATTCATGTCCATCCAATAAGCTTGTGGACAAGGCCCAGAGGTCCAGTCACACTTGCGTATGAACTCAACGTATCCAGTACTGCCAAACATCGCCGTGTACACATTAGCATGCTCGTACAACTCAATAAGCAACTCCCCTCTTACTTGCGGCCATCTTTCTCGGCTTGAGCAACGCACCGGTACCCACAGTTGCCATCCGCCATCACGTTAAAATAATCTTGAATAAGACGGACCATAAATCTGGGCAGGAAAGAATAAAAGTCGATTCATTCATTTGGAGGTATTGAGGGGTTCCATCAGTGTTCCTCTCAACCTTTGCTTTAGGAATCTTTGCACGAGATGAGGTTTGGCGACCCTTGAAACCACAAGACGACTTAATTGTCTCCTTATCAATATGATACTTCCATCTGGAAGGGTCTCTCTTTGTCGAGTTATTCTTTGGTCGTCCTTTGGTCTTAACAAATGATGGCTCGGACATATGCGACGTAGACGGATAAACGATGCCACGCAATGAGGCCACGGCATTTATCTTACTCGTGTAATTCATCTTCTTCAAACTGCAATACATGTCATCAATCTGTCTATCCACAATCGCCTCGCGGTTTACTTGATACTCAGGTAGCTCCGAAGGCTCAACTGCCACGGTACTCCAGAATAGATGCAAGTATGAAATGACGAACGTGTCATTATCTTCCATTTTCTGCACAATTTTTCACGCGCAAGGGAGCCCATGAGTATTCCAAAGATAGTGTGTGCAAATATTCGGATCTTGCATCGTCGGGGACTCCATCTCTTGATCCAATTTCTCTAATGCCAGATGCGTAACATAACAAATCAAACCCTGAAAACACGGCCATGCTGCAGTATGCTTCCTTATCTTGGATGATAATGAAAAATCGCACTTCAGCTGACTAATTTGGATATAAACTTAGTCCCGAAGTTTGCCTTGCACGTTATCCAAACCTCCGGTCGAAGCATTTAACCAACCATTCGCAGAAGAATGAGCACTCTCCACCCTATCCGATTACAACAACAATCAAAGTATACAACGACAATCAAATTACAAAATAAATATTATTTTTATATAATATATTTTATCATTTAAATAACTAAAACATGTAATACTTGTTGGTGCTCGTGTTGCCAAAATGATACACATTGCGGGTATAGGCTCGAGCAAACTTCTCCTTGTATATCAACCACGAATCATTCAAATACTGTATCAATCTAGGATATCCTGCATACCGTCCAACAATTTCATTGTAATTGTAATGATACTCTTCTTAGGTTTCTGATTTCACCAGCTTAGCCCACAGCACACGTCGGAATATTAGACCTTAGTCTTTGTTGCCTCCCATAAATTTCGTCGCATTTGCCTCAACATTTCTGTTTATATGGAATATATACAACATATGATACGAAACTAGGAAGACATTTGGCCGTGCTTTCAAAAGACCCAACTCCCTGTCTGTCAAGATCACATCAGGTTTAACACCATCTAGCAACTCTTTCAAACAATTCATAGTCCGCTCGTAGGTGTCTGCATCTTCATGCGACATAAATGCAACAACAATCATAAAATTCCTCCCAACTGGAGTTATCCCAATTATTTCTAAATGAGGCATTCCATACCTACAACAATGTTTGATATGCCTAATCGGGCCAACCCAATGGGCTTACAATTTATTTACCTACGGGGCTACGAGCCCAATATTGAAGACCACAATCATCGAGGCGCAATCACCTTCAAATAAGGTTTGAGCCCAACAATATCATCTAAGCTCTCATCTAAGCTATAAATAAAGGTTTGAACTCATTCCTCAAGGTACGTCCTATTAACTGAGCAATACTACAACATGTATTCTTTGGACTATTTCTATATCCGCACGTCTGACTTGAGCGTCGGAGGGGTTTCCGCCGGATCAACCCCAGGCCTAGTTCACGTGTTTTATGATCGCAGGTATCTCAAGGTCATCAAGCTCGTGAGCCAGTGATCCACTCTACTCTTCCTGCTCATCCTTCTTCAACTATCTATTGTGATCTATCTTTAGCATCATCATTTGGCGCCGTCTGTAGGAAGGCAAACAAGATCACGTAGCGCGCAAGATGGACTTGAGACTTCTGCTCAGGGGAGTGTGACACTGCTAACAACTTCCCACCTCCCCATGCTCGCGATCCAGCACGAGACACTCCTCGTGATGTCCCACTAGATCCTCAACATGATCCACTTCTTCCCGCCCCTCGATTGGTTCAGAGAACCGAGGAGGCCCTTCAACGCTAGCAAGGGTTATTGACTCTCAACGCTAGCAAGGGTTATTGACTCCCTGGGGTTTACAGTGCCCCCAAAACATTTAGTTCGCCAAGGGTTATCGACTCCCTGGGGGTTTACAGTGCCTCCAAAATATTTCGTTCGCCAAGGGTTATCGACTCCCAGGGGGTTTACAGTGCCCCCAAAACATTTCGTTCGCCAAGGGTTATCGACTCCCTGAGGGTTTACAGTGCCCCCAAAATATTTCGTTCGCCAAGGGTTATCGACTCCCTGGGGTTTATAGTGCCCCCAAAACAAAATGAAAAATTATCCCCAAATGGTGGACATGTGGACGTCAAAAAAAAATTATAAAAAATAAAAAAATATAAAAAATCGGCCAAGTCCAAGCCGCGCGCCTCCTCCAAGCCGCCAAGTCGCACGCCAACCAAGGCGCGTCAGCCCCACATGGGCTGACTTTTCCTGCCTCGGGGCGCGCGCGCCACTAACGACAAAATAAAAATGGAAGCAAAAGAAAAGAAGAAAAAAAAAAGAAGAAAGAGAAGAAAAGCTGCGCCTCGGTACACGCGTCCGAGAAAAAAAAAAAAAAAAAGTATTGCGAAGCGCGTGCTCACACACGCCTGGGGAACTGTCAGCAACCCCTGCGCGCGCCTTCTCATGCACGCGCGCGTGCCTTTCCATGCCCGCGCGCCTTCTCAATGGTTCTTCGGAGTGCGCGCTCTCATCGTGCAACTTTTCCTACTCTCCACCAAATTGCGCGTAGATTTTGACGCGCTTCGCCAAATCGCGCGAGAATTT